CGGCTACATTTTAAGTGAGTCCTATATCCTAGACTACGCTAAATCTACTTACTTCTGTTCTCTTCTTGGTATTCCAACTGCTACTCCCTTTGCCTACTTGTTTTTTGACAACAATATTACCTCCTTCCTTTGTTTCCTCTGAAAACGTTTTTATTCCCATGGAGGGTTGGCTTTTGGCAGGAAGGCGGTCATAAAGGAAACAAACCAAAACTGTATTGGCATATTGCACCTACTCTAAATATTATTGTGCAAATGGCAAAAAAAATGAGAATGATGACAGAATTAATTTGTGTACTTCTTACTTAATAAGAAATAATGACTAAAGTACCTGTAATTAACATTATAACAAGCAAATATTTATATAAATTATTTATATTAAACCAAACTTGTTTACTTTCGGCCATCGTTACACAAGGCAAAATCTTCATCCTCATCACCTGGATGGTTGGCGATAAACTACTGTGCGCTTTTCGAGACACTTTTTGCCCAGCACAACCAATGCATTAAACGGGTTATCGTCTGTAGTATTTCCGGACCGATACAACCTTCAAACCTTCAAGAAAAGAGGGTACTTCTTCCTAAAAGGCCGGCAACGAGTTTGTGACTCCTGAGTTCCAGACGTTCATGGGCGGCGATGGCCACTTTATATCGGGTCTGCTCATCTGCCTCCTCTAACATAAAAAAAAACAATTAAAATAAACAGTGGTACTTCCTAATACTTAGCACACAAACTCTATAACAGGTTTCTTAATATTCCTTTATGGAACAACCAAAAATAAGATTATTTATTAAACGTCATTATTATTCACAATATTATAATCTTTTGAAGAAACTCTTTGAAACCAAGAAAGTATTAACATATCTCACATACGGCAGTCTGATTAACATACTGATAAACATACTCAAATATTTCTAAATATATACATATTATAAATAAATTACATGCAGACACAGTAAAATGCCCGTGCCAAAACAATTATTTGACAATGCATAAATTTCTCCTTTTAATTTATTTGTTTGCGTTTTTAAGTTTTTCGGCACTTTCTTAATAGATCACAAATCATTACACTTAATAATTAGAAGTAATAGTCCCTGTAAAAAGAATTTGTTATGAAACAATGACATTAATACCATCCGCTCTATAACCTGTTAACACTGATGTAATGGCTCGTGGTAGTAGCTCATTTATTGTGGGACTAATTAGGAACATTGCGATATTAGCGTCACCGGTCTTTTTGCCATGGTTAAGGAGGTAAATGGGCAGACTTGATGTTAAGTCGCTACCTCCGCCCATGAACCCCTGCAGGCTACAAGTGCGTTGTCGTCTTTCAAGTGCCACTACTCCCCCGGAATTAGAGGGGGTAACATATAAGTATGTTTATCAGTAGTCTGGTTACATCAGTATGGCTCTGTTTTGTTTAAAATCAGACGACCGTGTATGAGATGTTAATTCTTATACTACTAAAACTACTAATAACTTTTTACTTGAATACGTAATATTGTGTAGCATGTGTCAAACGTTTTTTGCGAAACCTGAATGGTTACTGTTCTAACCTTTTTTTTTTTTGTGCGCCTCTGCGCCTGTAATAGGAGGGATCCGGGAACAGCTGTTATTAAGACATCCGGACCCCTCCTAGCGCCGGCCCGCTCCTGTTGCGGGCCCCGTCTCAAAAGTTTCCTCTCTTTAGGCGACGTCCGGCACACGCGGACGCCGCCCCCTCGCGGCTGGCCAAACTAATGCGGGTGGAGGGGAAACCCACCCCTTCCACCCGCGGCCACACTCAGGGCGGCATGAGGCGGTGATAGGCGCGCCTCCGCCGCCCGGTTCGCCGGCGGCGGATCGGGTCCGAGTGGAGGTCGTCCTCCCGGGCCTTCTCCGTCGCCTCCTTCTGCGAGATTACTTCCTCGCAGAAGGTTGCGACCGCGGTAAAACAACTGTCGCTACCGGCCATGGAGCGTACTACGGCCGGCAGCGAGAGATCCACTCCGATGACTGCAGTGAGGGCCCGGCGCTACGTCGCCCATGCGGGGCAGACCGCCAGCGTGTGCTGGGCCGAGTCCTCACTGCAGTCGCAGTGGTGGCAGGCGGGACTCAGTTCCCTCCTAGCGACCGAGTGCAGGTACTTTCCGAAGCAACCGTGCCCGGAAAGCACTTGCGTCAGCCGGAAGGTAAGGGTCCCGTGCTGCCGCCCTGCCCACTCGGCGATGACCGGCTGGAGTCTGGTGGAGTCTCCAGCCGGAACGACCAACGAGCCATCGTGGCTCGGCGAGCGGCTTCACGCCACTCGCGCACATCCTCGGGCGGAGGGCGAAATCCGCTCTCCGCCCGGGAGTCAGCCACTCGCCGATAAACTTCGGCGAGCACTTCCGCCTCCAAATCCCACGGGGGAGTTCCGGCCAACGCGCACGCCACCTCCGTCGAAACGGTGCGGTAACCGCGTATGGCTCTGACCGCCATTACCCTCTGAGGGCGCCAGAGGCGTGCCCTATTCTGGGCGGTCAGAGCCGCCGCCCACACCGGTGCACCGTATAGTGCCATTGACCGGACAACCCCCGTGTACAGCCGTCTTGTCGCGACGCTGGGTCCACCCAAATTGGGCAAAAGTCGCCCTAGGGCAGACGCAGCGCCGACCAGCTTTGGAGCAAGCTGTCGGAAGTGCTCGTCGAAGAGCCACCTCCCGTCGAGGATCAGGCCCAGATATTTCATCAGGGCCCGAACCGGTGCGAGGACCGAGTTGACCACGATTGAGGCGCCAGGGGGTGGACCACGACGGGGCCCATGAAATAACAGGGCCTCCGTCTTATCTAGGGCCACCCGTAAGCCCAGCGCCTCAATGCGCCCGACCACCAGGGAGACTCCCCTTGTGGCCAGGCGCGCCGCCTCTTGGAAGTTCGCCCTCCGGGCTGTCACCAAAGTGTCATCTGCGTAACAAATTACACCCAGCCCGGGGGGGAAATCGGCTCGAAGGGCCCAGTCGTACCCTATGTTCCACAAGAGAGGTCCAAGAACAGACCACGTGTTGGTGGAGCCTCTGTTGAGAAGACAGAGGCCCACCGAGGCCGCCCACTCCTCTACGGCCTCGCCCCTTGCGTCCGTCCTGGGGGAACCCCACGCAATGGACTTTGCGTTGAAGTCCCCCAGCACAAGGACGTGCCCAGACGCTAGTCGCCGTATCGAGGTCTCCAAGCTGGTTAGGAAGACCTCGAAGTCGCTTAAACTCCGGTTGGGGGAGAAATAAACACCATATATGGTAATCCCCCCCCCCCACTCGGCGGCAACATATCCAGTGCCCTTGTCTCTTAGCGACAAGGGCGGGGAATGGGGCTGGGGCGAGCCGTCCCAGTCACCCATCCAGTTTGGACGGGGAGGGACAAAATAGGGCTCCGCGACTACGGCAACACCTATCGACCACTGTGCCATGGTTTGCAGGAAGAGATCCTGGGCCGCGGCACAGTGGTTGAGGTTCGTCTGGACGAGGAGGTTGGAGACCTGGTCCATTACTGGATTGTCTCTACAACCTCCTCCTCCATGGGCGACGACGTTGACGCACAAACTACATCGGAGGCAGCCTGGATCGACTGGCTAGCCCCCGGCGTCTGCCGAGAATTGCGGGGAGGCTTGCAGCCTCTCTGCCCCATCTGGTGATTGGCGGGCTTATTGCCCGCCGCACACGCTGGGCAGTGAGGGGCGGCAGAGCATTCTGAAGCCTTATGCCCCGTTTGACCGCAGCGGAAACACACGTCCAAACTGGATGGGTGACTGGGACGGCTCCGTGGCAGTCGTCGGTTCCACGGCGGCTCATTCCCCGCCCTTGTCGCTAAGAGACAAGGGCACTGGATATGTTGCCGCGATTCAATAACAGTAATAGGTGATTTGATGGTAGATTTTTGTTTGAATGTGGGAGTTTGTACGTGTGGTTATTCGATCAAATAATTAATTCATCGTTTAAAAAGCAGAGTGGTCTTCGCAAAAATGTTTTTCTAAAATAAGTACGAAACCACTTTGATCTGTGTTATTTGATAAATTGTTATTTTCAAATATTATCTTTAAAATATAATCCAAATAATGTAATATTAATAAAAAAAACTCTAAGACTATCAGTGACATTTGAATAATTTAGATATTATATCGTATAGGATAGAGTATTAATTGGGAAATCTTTATAGGCTGTGTAACATCATACTGCGACCTTTTTGGCGTGATGCAGGCAACATAAACGCTGATAAAACAATGATGATCTTCGAGCCTATCTCATAAACAGGTGGTCATTGAAAACCTCGTGGTACTTTAAAGACTTAAGAGACTTTAAGATCACTTTAAAATTTTCATGAAATTTGAATTTGACATTCACAGAATTGTAGATTTGTACAAAAGTAATAAAGATTTTTTCCAAACAATCTTTTGTAAAAATGTTCATTATAATTATCATCATTCCCCTGCTATTTGGTTTTTAATATTCTTTAAGCTCGACGCAACATGTAACACTGCAAATTGGTTAGTTTCTTTTATGACCGATGGAACTTAGGAACTTAGGAACGTAATCGTTTCCAGACGAGATCAGGACAGAAGACAAAGGGGTAAAGAAACTGACGAGGAAATCAGGATACAGTTACCGCAAGTCTTGAATAGGGAAATTGGACTTTTTAGTAGCTCAAAAAAGATAGAGGGCGCATAAGTCAGTCCTGTGATTCGAGAGGTTACTAGGTCAGGGTTATGAACTGTTATTTCTTACAATATATAACAATTAACAGTGTAGAATAGAAGATTCATCACACTCCATCACCACAAAGCAACCACTTGTGATAGGTCTTTGAAGAAATAATTAATAAACGATTGTGAATTAATGTCGGCAAAGCATCGACATGGTACGTACGCAATGTATATAAGGTTATAGTGCCCAAACATTCACACAGTCGAGCTAGACCTCTCGAAGAGAACGTATTTTTAACTTTTTTTTAAATTTAGTTTAACTTTAAGTATTTATTTTTAATTTGACAATATGAACGTGTTGTGCCTTCTGGTGTTAAGTTGCGTAATCGGCGCGTACGCAGGCAGTTTGCGTGAGTAGATTTATAATACATATGTGCAGATAATATCTACGAGTTTTATAATTTATAAATATATATTTTTTTAATTTATTACGTTTAATTTATTTAAGAGAATTTAAAAATTATCATCTTATAAGTATTACATAGATTAAATAACATACTATAAATAGAAAAATAGAATGAATGAATGTATGTATATACATTCCACTTTTTTTTAAATATATTTTTGATTAACATATTATTTATATAAAAAAACAAAAATATTGTTTTTTTCAAGTTCAACAAAGTTCGAGTTTTCAGTTTCAACAACAAGTTAAATTTTTTTTATTTTATTTGTTAGTTTATTTTTTCCAGTATTGTATATAATGCGATAACATCTCAAAAAACATTAGTGATTAGTAAATTAATTAAAAAAAATAGCATTTAAAAAAAAAAAATTGAAATTGTCTCCGTAAAAATAATATTACACTCAACACGAATACAAGCACGATTAAGACGAAGCTACTACGATTGTATATGTGACCAGCTGATTCGCACAACCTCGTTTTCGTCTCTCTAAAGGAATTAGTTTTCCCATATTTTGCAACATTTTTCCTTGAGGTTGCGTTCATGTTAGTTATAGCTTGATATCGATAAGTGGGCTAACCAACACTGAAAGAATTTTTCAATGCGAACCAGTAGTTCCTGAGATCAGTGCGTTCAAACAAACAAACAAACTCTTTCGCTTCATAATACTTATATAGATCTACATACGAATATCCTCGAGCTTATGCTCCCTAATTCTTTTCTACGTTAGTAGAATATATTTGAAGTGTCTCGTAATTAGTCGTGATACAGGAATTATTTGTGGTATAAAACTTGAAATGATTAATGAAATGATTATGAAAACTCTCTTGAGCAAGGGTATTAATATGGCTAAATTATAACAAAATCAAGTGAACAACTAAATAAGTATGATGGTTTTCACACATAAAGTGACTAAATAAAGTCAGATGAACTTTTGTACCTTTCGTCTGAGTCTTATTATTAATAATTATGTTTTTTTTAATATACATACCTTGATATCGCCTTCTAAGTTTATTCACAAAATTCTGAACGCGCCCATAAATATTTGACAACCAACAAATACTCGTATATCGCAACTTTGTCATAGTGACACAATTTTATAAATCTAATACACGATAATTCGAATAATGTATTATCTGTGTTTATATGTTGGCGATCTGAAACCCTTATTTAATAATGTTTTTCAATTTAAAAAAGATCCTAATTTGTCGTACCGACGTCAAATCTATACTAATATTATAAAGCTGAAGAGTTTGTTTGTATGTTTGTTTGAACGCGCTAATCTCAGGAACTACTGGTCCGATTTGAAAAAATCTTTCAGTGTTAGATAGCCCATTTATCGAGGAAGGCTATAGGCTATATATCATCACGCTAAGACCAATAGGAGTCGAGCACTAATGAAGAATGTTTCAAAAACGGAGAAAATTTATTACTATTGAGAGACGCAGACGAAGTTGCGCGGGTCAGCTAGTAAAATAATAAAATTGTTCTTTTTACTATTTTCCTCGTATTTTTGCCATATTTTGTCACTATTTAAACCAGAGGTTCCCAAACTATTTTGGGCAAGAGACATCTCTAACATGATACCTCAGACCCTCTTAGTTAAATTACTGCAAGCTTATCGACTTGTTGAGTGTTTTTAAAGTACAATTAATTAATAGGGATCGATTTTTAGATGGACCTCGTGGATCCCCAAACATGGACTGGACTTTCACAAACATTCCAAGACCAAATTAAGACAAACCAGTCCCCCCCATTGCCGAGTTTTATAAGAATATAAGATAATTGAAAAAATATATTTTTAAGGAAACAGTTGTTCATACAGACAACAAAACTATTGTTGTTCTAATTAAAAAAATAACTGTAACTGTTAAGAAATATAAAAAATATTCAAGCTTAGCGGAAGCGCCAGTGAAAAAAAAGTTAGTGAATAATTCACTAACTTTTTTTTCAACTGGCGGTTCCACTTACCGTTTTTCAATTTTGGCAAAACAATTTTTGTGCTATTCCAGAATGACAGATTATCTATCCGTGTACCAAATATCATCCAGATACGTTTCAGCTGTTCTGGCGTGATCAAGTAATAATTACAAAGAAACCTATTCTGAAATAGTAATTGTTGCAAGAAAACACTTCATTTTTTTAGAATTATTTTTGACCTTCGGTTCTTATTTGCACTTTTACAAACATTCAAAACAAAATGATGGTAAAAGTTTTTGTATTGTTTTTTTGTCAACAAACATTTGTGTAAAAAAAATTATAGTTCTAAAAAACTATAATTAAACTATAATTTTTTTCATTATTTTTTTTATATTAGTGTATTGTCATCGGTCCTCGATATATCTACAAAGTTTAAACGAATTCTGACCGTTTAAAGTCAGTCAAAATTACGCCCAAAGGAGTCGGTTACATACAAACAAACATACAGGTGAAGCTAATAAAAGCGTGTTAAAAATGTATAACCAACATCGGTGTCCACTACAGAGCTAGTAAGTATTAGCCACTAAGTATTGCAGAGTATATTTCATAAGTGAACACTTTACGAGTAAATAGATTATAATGTCAAAAATATTAGGTACGTTTGAATAACTGTTTCTTTTAGTTCCATTAAATTCAGTTTATCAATTTTATTTTCTGGGTATTCTTCTTGGAATAATAAAATTCATATTTTAAACGTAAGCCCTTTTAGATTTTAAATTACTAAAAATTTTAACTCCCAGTTCCATAATCACAAATTTTATTCTTAAGATAACCTGTAAAAAACCAATTTATTCTAGATGTCACACATGGTAGAGTTTCTCCACCATTTCGCTCTATCTACTACGTCTTCGGAACCTTTTACTCGCTCATATCTCTCAGTACATCCCTAAACCTTGTCATTGATCTCTTATTGTCTTTTGAACTCAAATTATTATTACCTATAGTTGTACAAGTAGATAGATAGATAGATAGATAACTCTTTATTTGCACACTAAATTACAGAGTTTCAAGAAAGGAACACAGCGATCAAATATCGAGTGTACAAAGGGCGGCCTTATTGCTAAATGCAATTTCTTCCAGGCAACCTTAGGATGGATCAAAAGTTCTAGAGAGACAGTAGTAGTTGAATATCTGCATTTGTGAACCTACTATTAGTTTATTATTATCTACTATACATATTACATATACTACACATATTATATTATCTACAAACATTTACAATTTTTATACTTACATCTACAATGCATATCACAATAAATAAACCTACATATATATAAGTACCTACATACTATACCAGCAGATAGACTTATACACATACATATGTATGTAAGTATTTTACTATCACTCGTGAGCGGTATTTTCTTTCTGACTGAAATCCTGGTACCCTATGTATTTTTTCTACCCAAGTTACGTGTAAGCAATTATCATATACACATACTTATTATAAAAATATATATAATTATTTTATGAAGATCGGTTGAAGCGTGAAAAAGTAACAAACAAACACACATTCCCATTTATGATATATATAAAATTTCGTATTCTATATTAACGAGATTCATTCATGCGATTTAACACGGTTGGTGCAGTGGTAGCGTATGCGACTGCTGTGCTGAGGTCTCGGTTTCGATTCCCGGGTCGGACCAAATGTTTATATGATCTGCAAATCTTTGTTTCAGAGTTTGGGTGTTTTCTATGTATAATATGTATGTATTTACAGAAAAAAAAAGGATATAAGTATTCTATCAGTCAATCTAGTTTGCATAGTAAAAGCTCTGCTTAGTTTGAAGCTAGATGGCGTTGTGTGTCAGATGTGCGAAAAAAAAACATACATACATTTGATTTAAACATGACAATAATAAAAACAACTTCACACATCTTACACATGGCCGTCTGATCCCAAACTAGGCAGAGACTGTACTATGGTAACCAGACTGCTGATAAATATACCTCTATATATTACTAAGTACATACATTTTATAGATAAATAACACCCAGATATATAACAAATGTCGGTCATTTGCAGTTTGGAAAATCCCTGGTATATAAAATAAGGTAGTATAAAAGCCTAAACGATGTACGGGTACAAAATTCTCGACCAGAAAATTGACTATCCTCGGTTAGTAGTCATTTTTAAGTTTTGCGTTTCATCAAATCTCGCCACTTTGTTCCCCTATAAGAAGAACAGCTTTTGGTGCCAACTCTCCCTATGCAAGAATGTGTAAAGTGGTAAATCACTACAGCGATCTTATTAACTTACACTTCGGTACAATTTGTAAGAAAAAGTCTGTACTTAGTGATTTAAAAAATCAAAATTGTACTCTACCGTTGTGAGATTTTTTCATTCATTATTTTACTTTTGAGTTTTATCCATTTTTAAAACATAAGCGGTGTTTACCTATAAGTGGCTGTTGCATTGTTCTTAAATATATGAACATGTATTATTTAAAGGTATTAATGTAAACAGTTGTTGGTGAATCTTTGATAAATAACTTAAAAAAAACCTACACGAGCTCTAGCTTAGTAGTCTGGCACACCAACCACTATTAACTGTTTGTAAAATCTAATCTAAACATCTGGAATATCTAAGGTATTTAAGCAACCAAGCAAAACAATTTCTCAATACTTCAATAAATAAGCAACTTTTAAACGAATACTTACCGACTTATATTTTTAGAAACTTACTATACTTCATCCCTTAATTTACAACTCTTAGACGTGTACGTCTGTGTACTGTCCGTGTGGTGACGGATTAAGAATACGGAATGTCACCACCCCTATTAATCCCGTGGGTGTCGTAAGAGCCGACTAAGGGAGCAAACTACGCAGGACAACCGCACTGCAAAGAGAAGGAACACAACTCAAACCCTATACCAACCCGTCTGGCCAGCGTGGTATAACAGGCCAAAACCTCCTTTCTAAGGAGAGGCCTATGTCCAGCAGTGGACTATTATAGGCTGCTGATG